ATTAGAGCCTTAGAAACCCTATGAGGCAGTTCTATTTTGTCCTTATAGGATCACTATGAGTCAGAATCGACTCAATGGCAACAGGTTATTATGAACACCAATTTCCAGATGAGGAAACTCAGAATCAGACGATTAAACAACTTGCCTAGAATCACAGAGACAGTAACTGGCAGTGTCAAGTTCCAAACTCGGGGAATCTGACCTCATACCCCAAGAGGCCAAACCACACTTAACCAACATGCATTTTACAGAATACACTACTTCCTCTGGCTACCTGATAGGTGTGGAGTGAAAAAAAAAAAAATGTGGTCAAAGGAAAATTTGGAAAATACTAGGTTAAATAGGTTTCTCTGTTAAAAGACTTCTCAGCGTTCTTAATTTGCTAGGGAGCATTGGGAATATTCAAGAGAAGAATGAGTATACATGCAACCAAAACTTTTTTGACCAGGGACTATTTTCTTGGGGAAGCATCTTCTGGACCAGTGTTCCTCAGATTTCACTTTTAGAAGCACCAGCCTCATATCTACCTGCTCAAGACCTACTATGTGCTCCCAGGTTTGCTAGGGACTAGTTGAGGGAAAAGGATCCCTGGTAGTACAGTGGTTAAGTGCTCAGCTGCTAACCGAAAGGTCGATGGTTTGAACCTACCTGCTGCTCCACCGGAGAAAGATATGGCAAACTACTTCTGTAAGGATTACAGTCTTGGAAACACTATGAGGCAGTTCTCTGTCCTATAGGGTTGCTATGAGTCAGAATCAACTCAACAGCAATGGGTTGGAGTTGAGTGAAGAAGTCCCCAGGTAGTGAAAATGTTTATGCGCTTGACTACTAGCCGAAAGGTTGGTGGTTTAAGCCCACCCAGAGGTGCCTCGGAAGATAGGCCTGGTGATCTGCTTCTGAAGTCACAGCTTGTAAACCTTATGGAGGAGGTTCTGCTCTGCACACATAGGGTCACCATGAGTTGGAATCGACTTGACGGCAACTAACAACAAGTTGAGGAAAGGTGCCAAAAAGGGAAAGTGGTAGAGCTAACCTAAAAGTCTAGAATCACACCCGGGCCCCCAACCTCAGCCAGCCTACCACACAGGTCCATCAAGGGCCTCTTCTTCTCCTGCCTGTACAAGACAGGAAGCCCATTTGTATTTGTCCATTGTCTCATCAAACTGTGCAGCCTGCCTCAGCTCTCTCTTCAGGGTGTCCTTCCTTGTGGACTTCACAAAGGAAATTACACACCTGAATTAATAATTGTTTCTTCAATTATGAACTGTCTGTCCCTTTTGTGAGGAGATTTTGCATTAAATCATTACAATCAAAAAGGATATACTACTTCACTTAAATCTGATATGATTCTTCTTAGGAAAGCCTGAAGTTGATAACTATCATCCTCCACTGATGGAAGCCTAAATGATTCTCTTAATTTTAACAAGTTAAAGATCTTCTCACTCCCATCTTAGAAGAGTTCCAGGTGAAGCATTTTTCTTCTAACTGCCTTGGAATTATTACACAATTTAAGTGCTCACTCCATGAAGCCCGGTTGTTCAAAGTTCAGTAAATACCTTCAAGTGGAGGGAGCAATTACAGCTAGGTAACTATTTCTTGAATACTTTGAGTCTCCTAACTATTGACACCAATACCCAAGGCAATCAGAAGTCACATGGCATTTCAGAGGTCAAGCTAGAGAGATGAACTGATAAGTCTGACCACCTGTGGCAGCCACAGCCCACGGTTCCAAGGCAAAGAATGATGTGACGGGGAAATTACCCAAGAGCCCTACAGGAGGGACACCATTTAGCAGCTATTCCTTGGGTTCCTAATGTAAACTGCTGAGTCGCCAAATTAAAACCTCTAAAATATTAGCTTCATTATGTCATTCCCTTGCTCAAAAACCTCCTATGGCTGCCCATTGCCAAGAAAACAAAGTTCAAACTTTGTAGATTTGTATGGAAGGTCCTTCACAACCTGTTTCAAATTCACCTTTCTGGCTACATGGTAACAGAATGCCCCATGCCACTCCTTCCCTTCCCTCCTCTCTCTACATTTCAAGCCCACTCCAAACCACCTCCATCACAAGGCCCCTTCCACCCTCATCTCCACCCTAGTCCATATTTATCATATGAAACTATGCAATGCTTTTCAACAAGTTCCATTTCTACAAACTACAGAGTTTTCTCCAACCACAAAACCACCTTAACCATGTTAGATTTTCCCCACCCTACCCCCATCCAGCTTAGGAGGGGAAATGGCTTCTCTCTGCAAGAGACAACTTCACTGGAGTTCAGCAATTCTCCTCTTTTCTGGAAAATGAAATGCTTCACATCTTCCATGCCTGTGGTTTATATCTCACCAAGTGGTGTCAGTGCTGATATAGTAACTTCCCATTTTTATTGAGCAGCACACAATGTAATTGATGACATCTGCTGGGGCTGATATTTTAAGTGAAGGCTATTCTCAGCTCTGCCTGCTCTCACCATGGCTTTATATAGAAATAGCCAACAGCAGCTACACCTGAAGTAGAAAGCGGGGCTACTTGACTAAGGTCCTCAATTATACCCCATAAAGTCATGAGGTTTTCTGGGAGGATTTATCTAAGCAGATGAGTTTCCAAGCCTGCAGGGTTAGAAAAAGAGGGAGCAGGGGCAGGGCTCTGCTAGATATATCTGCCACTATTCCTAGGAGAGAAAAATCCTTGCTTGGACTTTTTAGCTGAGAAGATTTAAATACCATGTCCTTTTTGGTGCTTGAAAGCTTCTGTTTTAACCCCCAAATGAAGGGAAGCTATCATTTATATTTCCAAGTCACAAATGATGTCCATCTTCATCTATTAACATTCTCCAATGTGCATTAATAAAAATAAAAATGTCTTTCCCTGCTAAAGTTTTTGTATTTATTTGCAAGTCCTGGGGAAGAGTTAATTTGACAGTCATTTAGGCAACATCTGATCTTTATAGGACAAGAACCTATTTTTGGTTCTTGGCTTAAAAAAAAAAAAGTTCACTACAATTGTCAGTTGAGTTACCTTCAGAAGCACAAGGCTGGTAGGGCTGCTTGTGGAAGGGCTCATTTATCAGGCACAGATAGGGAATGTGCTGCTCTACATGTATGATTGTTCTTCACAAATGAAGTTATATCTTTCTAAAAGAAAATTTTGATAATTTTTGATGGAAAATTTCTGAACTAAATTATAAATGCTCTCATATTCTTTAATGCGATTTACTATGATGATCCGGTCATTGGTAGAACTGTAAAGAAGTGAGGCCCTCAGAGGCTGTTAAGATATGTATAACAGCCCAGACAGAACCTCCAAAGGAAAGCTTTCCCTGACATTCTGCCCCAATACACACACACACACACAAACATACATGTGCACACTCCAAAATAAGACCCCCACCTATACACTGATATGATTCCCTGCACACACCTGCATTACAGACCTTAACACATTTCACTGCAACTGTTAACCCATTTACCTCCCATATCCCACTCTAAGATCCTCCAGGGCAGCCATCACAGCTTTCTTTCTCTATCCCCAGTACCTGGCCTGGTGCTTGTATACACAGTGGAAGCAAACAGATGTTTTTGAGGAAAGGAAGGAAGGAGGGAGGGAGGGAAAGAGAGAAGGAAGGAACGAATGAAGGAAGGAAATGTACTAATTGAAGGCATGGGCTAAATGCATATGTGGGAATTTTAATATCATTTTTTCTTGTGAGAAAAGAGAGAGTGACTCACTGAAGTGACAAAGCAGAAGCAGAAAGGGACACCTTCCACCATGTTATATATCACTGTCTTGATTTCTTTGTATCAAGTTGACTGTCATGAGCACATCAAACACCTAAGCTAATTCTCATAAATGTGAACCCCTTGAGATTGGTAGGTGATATTTTTCACCTGAGTTTCAGCATTAATTGTGTGTACGTATTTGAAGTAAAATCTACCATCATTTTCAGCAGCAGGGGTCTGTGCCAACAACAGCAGCACATGGAGCAATGGGAACAGAGACGTTGGCAGGGCTGCATTCTGTCTTCAGTAACTCAAAGGAGGATGCTGTTAATGACTTACAACAGCCACCATGAGACTGGTTCTATGTTTGCTGGTGTGAGTGGAAAGAGCCCTCTGAGCACAAGTTTAAACCCAAGTGGTTCCAACTCTGAAAGGAGCTTCTACTCAGAAGCCATAAAGAAGTTATTTAACAAATGAAATATCACTGCCCTATGGCCATTAGACACCCTTCAAACTTGGAACTGAAATCACTCCCGGAGATCACATTATAGCCATATAATAGACAGGCCTATAAAATGAACAACAATGCCAGTGAGGAATGTACACCTCAGAACAATCAACTATATGAGACCTAAAGGGCAGCATTTGCCCAAAAGCAAAGTTTAGAAGGACAGTAGGGGCAGGAAAGCTGGGCAAATGGACACAAGGAACCCAGGGAGGAAGTGGGGAGAGTGCTGACACACTCATGGGTTTGCAACCAATGTCATGAAACAAGCTGTGTATAAGTTGTTGATTGGGAAACTAATTTGCTCTGTAAACTTTGACCTAAACAATAATAAAATGTTCAAAAAAAGAAAAATATCACCACCCTTGAAAGCCTCTCAGGAGTAATCTTTCTCCATAAAGAAAGTTTCATTTTTATGGCTCATGTGAACTGGGTAGCTTCTCCATGCACAGTCTGTTCCATGAACGAACTCACTGGATTCAGTCCCACAATTCCCCAGATAAGTCTCATAACTATTTTACTTTTTGTCTTTTAACAAAATCAGTCACTGACTGGACTGTCCAATTTAACTGAAAAATATTTAAAAATCTGTCTTATCAGAGAAATAACCAACTTGAAAGAATAATTTCTGTCACCCCAGTTAGTTCAGTCCCCACCTGTCAATCAAATCAGACAGCTAGCTGGCCTTTATGGAAAGATTAACTCAGCATGCTAAGGAAGGAAAAGTCAGACCAGCATTTTCCATGGAATATATAGCAGGAAACAGTGCATCCTTTACCTTGGTCAAAGGGCTTGTTGGGATTCCAATTTCTGAAATAATCATCCTATATAAGGAAAAAAAACAGAAAACAGAGATTAGATTTCAGAAAGCTTCTCACATAACTGCATAAAAACCTACCTTTTTCCCCACTCCCAAAACACAAAGGAAAACACTAACAGCTTAGAAATCGTTCCCAAAATAGGCATTCATCTGCAATCAAAAATATCAATTTACTTTTTAATTTCTTGTCTTTCAAACTGTTTATATTAAACACTCGGAATAGTAAAAACATTTCAGCTCAATATGGAGACAGCATTGCTCTTCTTGGTTTGACATATAAGCCAAGACAACTTCTAAGTGTAAGGTGTATTTGCTATCAATTACACTGCAGGTGATGCCTTGCTGCTCTCCCTTATGATTAAGCCTCTGTGTTTGCAGCAGCTGATAATTCAACTGTCAATATTTCTTTTACATGGAGACATGTAATGAGTAGTGCACAGTTTCAGTTTTCCAACACTCACAAGACCTAAAAGCAAAGGGCCATTGAAATCTTAGAATTAATCAGAGGTATACATTTGGCTTAGTACCATTTGTTCCAGGTATGTAAAGATAAAAAAATAATAAAAATAAAACAAAGGCTGGCCAATCTGATCTATTAATAACCATGTCTTTCTTGCATGAAGCTTACATCAGTTTATGCTCTGAGGCTAGACACTTCATTGCTTTGAAATTCCAAGGGTCTCCGTCACTCACTTCCTCACAGCTATATTAAAAAAACAAAACAAACCACTTGCCATTGAGTCAATTCCAACTCATAGTGATTCTACAGGACAGAGTAGAACTGCCCCATAGGGTTTCCAAAGAGCTGTTGGTGGATTCCAACCGCCGACCTTTTGGCCAGCAGCCGAGCTCTTAACCACTGCATCACCAGGGCTCCAATAGCTGTATTACCTCCTTCTAATGATCCTGTCCTTCCAAAAGACCACTGTCTCCTCTATCCCCCCAACTCAATGCCCATCGACCCCCATCGTTCCCTGACACACCCACTGTGTCAGCAAAACTGAATACAGTTTGCAAGGTGAAGAGGTATCACCCATGTACATCATCCCCACACCATCTTTAGGGTAGTTGCCCTTTTTCAGTTGATTTCCTCCTGAATACATCCAAATTTATTTTCCGTATGTGTTTTTGGTAGGTACTTTGCATGCTGCAGACAGTTTCAGAGAGCTGTCCAAAATGAGGCCTCAATTTCTCTTCTGGAGAAGTTAATTTACATCAAAGTGCACAATTAGTTTAAATTACTGTCTATGATGTCTCCTGCTGCAGTTTATCTCTGACATGATCTCCTCTGAATTTTATTGTTCTCTGTGTCATTCAATTACCTGTCTTTATTAGATCCTTGTTGAGTCCACCTAAGCCCTTAAACAAATTTTAGAAAACTGAATTTAGAGTAAAATCAAAACATATTGCATATTGGGCAGTGATTCCATTTTCCAGAGCATGAATAAACATGAACAGTTTCTTCTGGATCCTGGGGCCTCAGTATTAAATTATTTTTAACCCCAAGGAATTAGCCCACTTTGCTTTGACTGTAATTTTATGGCATTACTGGCCTTCTCACCCATCTGGTTAGGAAGTCTTTGAGGTCTACACCATGAAATACATGGAGACAGTTTAAAATAATCCCTCTGCAATATCTCTCTCCATTTACTATTTTAAACACAATCCTAATTAGTTGGAACCCTACTTTCAGAAACTCCACAGCTCGTGTTAAATAATTCTAAGTTAAGGTTGGATGGTAGGTGGGAAATTTAGTGCCCGATTTCTTGGTTTTATGACCAATGTGCTCTTAGCCCTAGACAATCATGTTACCAACAGATTCTGATGTTCCCCAAAGCAAGAGAAGAGATAACACAAGATGAACTCATTCTCACCACTGGATAAAAAAACAATGAAATGTTCATCCTTCCAACTGTGGTTCATCAGTGCCCTCTTCGCAGACAGATGACGGCATCATGTCCAATGGCAATTTGGAATCCTGTGAAATATTTTCTACTTGAACATGCTGTTCTAACACATGTTCTAATTACCCTTGGAAGCTTAGGATATGTGTCCAGCAGGGAAGGGCTGGAGCCAAAGACAAGTTCTTTTAATTTCACGTCACATTCTCCTTGATGTCAAAGAAAGGTTTGAGCAAGTCTCAAGAACTGAATATTCCCTAACGATTTTCACATACTTTATAACCTGGACGGAATCAGAAGCATTCTTCTGGACCTTGTCACTTTTCCAGGTTAACTATAATTGCCATTTTTTACATATTTCTTGGGGGAAAATCATAGTTTTAAATATACAGCCTCTAAAAGCAGATTATCTACATTAGAATATTTAAAACCCATGCAAATGCATTAAGACTGCCTAATTGCTGCCAAAATGTGAAAGTACACTTTGAGTGAAAACTTATTATAAAAAACAAGTCCTTCAGACAGCCCCCTTGCCCAGCAAGGCCAAACAGGGAAGGAAAATGATTCTCTGTATCTGACTGCCTTTGCCCTGCCGCAGCAAAATGGATTGCCAAAGCAGAAACCAATGAGCCAGGAGCTGAAAAAACCTTGGATATAACTGCTTTTGCTACAGCTGAAAGAGAAAACTCCGTATCACAGGAGCCAAAGGTCATGAACATGTATGAAAGTGTTCTAGGCCCCAGAGCCCACTTGGGGGATGGTCAATGAGCACAGGGTGGGGGCTGTGGTCTCTTAGCAGGCATTGCTCAGTTGAGGTCAGAGTATGAGATGCTGGAGCACATGTGACTCACTCTCCACACTGCCCTAGCCAGGTCCGAGAGGCCTGCACACATGGTGAGTCCAAGCAGTCTGGGGCTATATGGATTAACTCACCCTGCAGTCTGGGGGAATTGCTGGAGAAGCACCATCCAATTCCATGTAGAAAGAGCCAAAGACAAAGGAATGCCTCTTCTAGAGCTTCACCTCCTGAGAATTTGCTCATCCCTGTGTCCCACTTAGCACTGTGGATGCTCAAAAGACATCAGGACAGCTATCTATGGTCCTGAACCAACACTCCACCAATACCAGGGCCGATCATTTTTCCAGACCCTCAAATCCCTGTGGCACCAACCCAGCTTTTTTTTAATCTTATTTCCTATCTAAATAAAAAATATAGTGTACATTTTACATTGTCTTAAAACAAACAGACCCATGGCTTCCAGTGCTGCTGACAGTTCTATCAGTTTTCTAACAGTTACAATTCCCACCCCGGGAGTACTGTGCCTTCCCCACACCACATTGATACTGCATTATGTGAATGTGTGTTCTTGATGTGTGTCCTCAGAGTCCAGGCCAGATCCCAGAAAACTGAAGGGCTTTCAGAGCCCTGACCTCTGACCTTTCTTCTGGCCCAATAAAGTTGTGGCCTTTTAAAATTCAGAATGTAGTGAAAGGCATATTGGATGTGTCAGATCAAACTTGCCAGGCGATGTGTATCTGCCTGAATTTGCCTCTTGACTGGCAAATTTATTACCTAGTGATGAAGCTTTAAAAAAAAAAAAAGACTTGTAAGGACCACAGCAACAGTTAACTTTTAAAACATAAACCTAAATAGAAAGATACATATCTAAAGATGGTCATTTATTAAATTCAGTAACTACCACTAATGTATTATAAAGGCTAAGGAATGAAGGATGGCAGTGTTACTATATACATATATTTTATAGGCTACACTGCAATTAAGTCAGGACTCAACTGGACAGGGCAGAGAACAGACTTGAGGAAGTCCACTTCTCTGCACCATTTTGCAAATTAAAATTATCCAACTCTTTTTAGGGACTCTTAAAATCTGTAAGAACATATACATTTAAATGAATTTTAGACTTGGGCACATTGGCTTATATCCAAAGTCCTGAAGTATTCCAGGGCATCAGAAAGTATCATGAAAAGTCAGCATAAATATCATAGTGAGAAACCGACAAATTATCACATGCCCAGCACAAGGAAGAAGGGGGGCTGCTGGTGGTCGGGTAGAACACGTGTCCATCGGAAACTGAGCAGATAAAGCTTTACTTAACAGGTACCTAAAGAATCAGAGATTGGGAGCGATCATGGCCCCAATTATTTTTTGCGCTACACAGCTGATCGACATAGATAAAACCATATTTCCTCCCTTATCTTACTAACTTGATATCTCACTAGCATAGTATTGAATCCTGTGAAATTACTGGTGCCCAGTGGCTGGTGGAAAGGATTTTGACTCTTTGAGTTTTCAACTACTTTAGAGATATTCTATTCTTATAAGCATTCATAGGAAAGAAAATCGATTTTAAAATACCTATATATTACCCAAAGAGCGTTCTTCTCTACACTGCACCCTCCAAAGAAAGTCTCAAGCCTGCCTACCACGAACTGATACAAAAATATTGCTGCTATAATTTGGATGATTATGTTTCTTCATCATGGATAATCAGAACCAACTGAAAAGTCTATGGTTCCAGCCCATTTTGAATGGGAACCTGAATATTTCTTCTCCTGTTCCACAGCCCCAAAATGGCTGATGCAATTTAGCTCAAATATTCCCCAGGGACTTCCCTTTTAAGAGGTGTATATTTCAGTTCCAAGAACTGTCACAGCAGTCTCTGAGGAAGAAATGGGACGGCAGAACCAAACGCAAATCACTTTTGAAAGCCAACTACTCTGCTCCCGATGATGAACATTATGATATAATTTATTATATACCTTAAAGCTTCAGATGCTACAGATCAAAGACATTTACCTCACATGGAACTGATAGTTTCTCCCTCATACATATTTTAGCTAAGCTGTTTGAACCCTGCAGTTTCACCTGAGGATTACCTGAGATAATACACATTACCAGCCTATAAAGTAAATGGGAGTCTCATCTGCCTTGTCCACGAGTGAGCAATAGAGACACGAACAGAAGGAAGCAAGGTGAAGCAAGGGTTGTCCCCAGGCCACTGCAGATCAACACAAAAAGAGAAACCCTGCCACGCAAGGTCAGGTAGACTCAAGCTGGGCTTGTAGATGCTCCATCCTGGAC